TGCTATTTGAGGACATGTGAGCATTAGTAAACAGAATGTACAAGGGATACGTTTATGAATTTGTTATGTTCTAATTATGGCTCTATGGCTCGGAGAAAGCAAAACATAGCATGAAGAAAGATAAACGGATAAACTTTAAACAAAAAATGTGAATCTTCTGTTGGTGCTCCATTCATGTCTGACAGAAGTAATTGAAGAATTGACGAACTAAAGACCAAAAGAACCAAATAAAACAAAAGAACCTAACAAAACAAAGGTTCCAAAAGAACCAAAAAATAACCGAAAAAATGCCAAAAAAATACAAAAAAAAACATCAAAATTCCGGAGCTCTTGGAAATTCGGGCGCCAGAATCAGGAGTGCCCCAAAGATTGCTTTTCTTACATTTCCGAAAGTCGCTCACCGGAGACCTCGAGACCCCTCCGAGAACTTAAGGCCATCAATTCCATCAATCGGTTCTTCGAGGTCACACAGGAGGGGCCAGCCTGAAATCAAGTCCGTGGTTGCCTTGCTAGAATCCAAAAAAAAATTGCACATGAATCTTTCGGAAACAGCATCGTGCCTTGCATTGTTTCGATTTCGAAGCACGGCTCTGCATCGAAAGTCCAGGCCGAAACCGGTTTTTTTGGTTTTGAATGTGGTAGTTTGGGGATTTTTGGTTCCTTTGCTTCTGGATTTTTTTTGCATAGTCCTTTGCCAAACCCTAAAAAAAGAATTCCCAAAAAAAAGAAAAAAGAATTCCCAAAACAATTCCTGGGCCTTTTGCGTTTTCCATGCGAAGATTCGAATTCTTTTGAAGCCAGTCGTTCCGTTGACGATTCGTGAAACAGGCCACTTCGATTTTGACAGCCAGGATACGGCTTGGGTGCCCCTGTTGCCATACTGCTTTTTGCGATTCTGAGCTGCGCATTCCGGTCTGTTCAAGGTAGCGATGCATCACGAAGATCATGCGAGACCAGGTGCATGTTGATGTTTGGGAGTTGTCAATGGTGCAAAATACTGTTACATGTGGAGGCATCCGTGTTGTCACGTCGAAAGTGCGACCCGATGTGGTTTAAACTTGTCACACGTCTTAGTCCTTGCAGCGGTCCCTGAATGCGATGGGGCATTCAGACATAAGGTGTTCATACAAGCGAATTCAAGTTGTCGGACAAGGAGCTTTTGGATGCTGCTGGCTGGTGCAGGGGGGACGCGGGGAGCAGTATATCCTGAGACAAATTGACGTGTCTAAGATGTCGGAGAAATTGAAGCAGGAGGCTGCCAACGAAGTGAGAGTCCTCAGCCGATTGCGCCATCCGTTCATCATCAACTACCGAGAGTGCTTCGTGGAAGATGGTTTGCTTTGCGTGGTCACAGACTTCGCTGAAAGCGGCGATTTGTTCCGAAGCATTGAGAAACAACGAGCGAAGCAAGATCTATTTTCCGAAGAATTGGTTCTACGCTGGTTTACCCAGATTGCATTAGCTTTGAAGCACATTCACGATCGGCACATCCTGCATCGTGACTTGAAGACCCAGAATATCTTCTTGGCAGGTCCAGGTGAAGGCATCGTCAAAGTGGGTGACTTTGGCATTGCTCGCGTGTTGCAGCATACTCAAGATCTTGCGAAGACGGCTATCGGAACTCCGTTTTATCTTTCGCCCGAAATCTGTCAAGAGAAGCCGTACAGCTATCAGTCAGACATCTGGTCTTTGGGCTGCATCCTCTACGAGCTGGCAACGCTTCGTCATGCTTTTGATGCAGACTCGATGCGTGGCCTCGTTTTCAAGATACTCCGTGGTATTCCATCTGAAGTGGCATCAACTTTTTCGGTCGAGTTCAGGCACATGATTCCAAAAATGTTGCAGAAGGATCCGCATCATCGCCCATCAGTCGATGCGATTCTGAAGATGACCTTGGTGCGCCGTACGATTCGTCACCTGCTTGCCGATTTGGAGTCGCAGCAAGGACCCAGTCAGATGCTGATTCTTCAAGTCTTCAAGTTTCGGCTTGCATTCGTTGTGCATTGTCAGGGCTGCCGGCTGCGCTTCCGCATGCGAAGGTCGTGCTTCAGCAAAGATTTGTAACGGAAAGCTTGGTAGGAGATTTGAACTTGTGTTTGGACCTCGCATTGAAATGACCGCGACAAGCGGTTGTGCAGGTTTTTTCGGAGGCCAGACGCCGACATCCCCTGCCGTCATCCGAGTGCGAGCACTTGGTGTTTATTCGTTCTAGTGGAGTGTGCAGGCTGTTGAGGGGTTGTGACCGTGACATGCTCGGCTACCAAGAACAAATGTGCGGCACGACAGTCCCAAGACGAGCAGCTTGACTGCAGTGGGGGTTTTCTTGCTTGGTATCAGTGTGGCAACTATAACTATGGCTCACTAAGACAATTTTCAAGACTTCAGCAGGCCAAGGCCCCTAAGGCCCCTTCCAAATTGAACTTGGCGAGTGGGCAGCTCTTCCAAAAAGCACGGCATTCTTCAAGCCTGTTTGACCGGGCTGTGCATCTTTCCAAGTTGGCCTTGTCCTAGGAGCAGCAGCGTCAGCGTCTCCAAGCGGCCGGCAGCAACTACATGATGCAGCTCACGATGGGAAGAACTCCGCAGGCAGACTTGGCACTCAGACAAAGCGACTGATGTTGTCAGTGTTGTCGATCAGAGCACTTCTTTCAGGCAGGGCGCCGAGCTGCCCAAGTCGGACAGACCACAAGATGTGCGATTCGTTTGTGGCTCGCTTTGATGTGGAGTCATTCAAATCTCGGTTCGGTGCGGTGTGCTGGCTCGCTAACACTGTTCCGATGATAAGTGATGCTGTCGGGAAAAGCAAAATGACGAGCTGATTGAGCCTCTGTAGCCAGAGGCGCAGAGATGCCGAGATCCTTCAAGTGTGTGAAGACAGGCAACACTTGCTAACTTAGGTTGTAGGTGAGAACTAGAAATTCCAAATTAATCTCGAAGGCAAGGTCACACCCATACCAGGCCAAATAGGTGGTGAACACGCATCCAAAGATCTGATCTGAAGGTTACCGAACACATGATCCCTCAACACATGAAGCAACCAACCTATTTAGTTTGTGGTTGTCAGATGCTCCGATTTCCATCTCGATGGGCAGTTGCTGGCATGGGTGCCGGTGGCGGTGGTTGTTGCAGTACTGTTCCTCGTCCTGTGCATCAAGCCTAGTCATTGTCGCTGATTGGGAGAAGCAGGAGAAACGGCAGCTATTCCGTTGCACAGTAGACGGCAAAGCTCGACAGGAGCAGGAGAAACACGCCAGCATGACAAGCAGGAGGAGGTCACGAGTTGAAGAGTGGAGGGATCGGGCGGAGGATTACAGGATTTCCGGGAGAGCAAAGAAGTGTGGCCACGTCAGCAACAACAGTCGGGGCGGTAGTAACAAGATAACACGCAGCGATCATCGTTACGGACCGACTGGTGTGGTAAGCGAGTTGGTGTAAAAAGGTGCCTTTAGCCTGCTTTTCGCTTGCCCTTTGTTAAGTTTGTGATCCTGTACTGCCATGGCTTCCATGCTTTTGTCCGTAGAGCTGCTTGAGTCACTTGGCGAGCCAAGGACACAGTCCAGCAGCACATGAGCTTGCAGGGCAAAATGTATCGTGAAGGTTCCGCAGCATGTCTGTTGTAATGCAGTGGTGTTTGAGAGGAGTCTTCTGAAGGGGAGTCACAATCCTTGGTGGTGCAAGCTTGGTGCAACTATTGCCGAAACTAGCAATTTCGCTTGTCAACCAGGAACGCATGGCAGAACTTGCTTTTGGGACTTGTCATATCATCGGGCTCTCGCAAATATGTATAGGTGTGTGTGTGTGTGTGTGTGTGTGGGTGTGTGTGTGTGTGTGTTACATGCCTGTACATGGCGACCATTGAGTGAGACCGGAATTATTGCTGCAGGGGGGCACGACATCAGATTCCGGACCGTGCCTAACAGATCTACGGAGTCTGGTAGGAAGCAAGGGCTGATCACTCTTGTGTACCTGCATACAGGCCAGCCAAAACTACCCCAAGAATGCTGTCGTTTCTATAGTTCGCCTACAGTGTTCTGCAAGGTTGCCGCAGTCTGTCGTCGTTTGGTCCTGTCGGTCGCTCACCGCAGTTATTCGTGCCGAGCCAAAGTGTGTGTTTGCGTGTGTGCGCACGTGTGGGCTTGCGCTTTGTTTTAATGTGGAGGTCGCGAGACAGGACATCCATCCACAGTGACGGCAGCTGTGGAAGAGCAGTTAGTGTCGCCTTGAAGCATTCAGTTTGTTGCGTTGTTGGCTGATATGACAGAGATGAGCGTCAGAAGCCGTAGAGTCGCAGGTGTTTCCCTTAGCCTTTGGGATGGAGTCAGGCATGTCAGCAAGGACGACTCCTTGGCTTACCGCATCGAGGCCGCGCTGCGGCCTGTGCCGCGGAGTCCAGAGTAATCTTGCCGAACCAGCATTTGCCAGCTCCAGGCTTTACGATGTTTCCTGGAGAAAGAAATGGGCCTTGCGGGTTTCAGTGCGGCGCGCAAGCAGATGTCCGAAGGCTCGGTCCTTCAGTTCTTGAGTCTGAGAATGGATGCCGATGAAAGGTTCGACAGGGGGAGATGGCATCGATGGTGTTATCGCGACTCCAATGACCGAGGTCACAACACAACCATATTTACCTGTCTCGTCAGTCATCGCTCGTTAGATTTCTGCGAGGCCAATCCATTGCAGAGTGACTGCAGCGATCCTGCCTTGCCAACACAGGCATGCTGGCTCTTGCTTGAACTTGCTTCATCGATGCACTGTGCAGTTGCATCCAGGGAGCGATACAGTCAGGGGTACATTTTATAGTTGTGAGCACATTCAGATTCAGCAGAAGTTTAAGCTTTCTCTCTTCGTCAGCGCCAAACTGGGCCAAACTGGTCTGCATTCCCGGCATGTGCTGGATATTCAGCAATCGGCTGATGACGATCTTGCGGCATGAGCTGGGAAGGGGGTGTACGAGCAGAGGCAGCGTTTCATGACGATGCCCACGAAGTGTCACGAGTTCGTTTCTGTCGGGATGTTGTTTGACCCTCCCGCCAAGTGAACTGGCCCGAAGCAGATTTCTGGAATCATGGACGGAGTGCATGTGTGCGGCATCTTGGCGAGGCCGAAAAATACTTGCCCGAGCCTTAGCTTGTGGTGAGCGAGGTGATCTTGCAAATGATCTCAAGGAAGCGACACTTACTCAATAATCGTCGGAGAAGTGCAGACACCATGGCACGCACTCCGGCGCAGCCACAATAGCGCGGGAATTTGTTGATGTTATTCTGCTAGATGCAATCTAGATGCTATGTTAGATTGAGGCCGCTGGTCAAGAAGCTCGTTCTGTTTGAGCAGGAATGCTACGGACTGGGCACCTTGGCATTCCATGGGTTGCGGGTCACATTGTGCTGGTAGCATGGCAGTTGCAGCGCAGTTGTCTTGATCTTCGCTGGTTGCACTTCGAAATCTGCTGAAGCTTTGTTGCTACTGTAGCAGCGAGGGCTTGTGTGTGTGTGAAAGAAAGACATGGAAAGACTATCGAGAACCGAACGGGACAGCATGGGAATTCGATGCTCGTTTAAGTTCACAGGATCAACATGGCTCTTGTTGAACATGGCTTCCATGTTGTGAACGTGCCCATTGCCCTATCTGAAGGTTGACCACGCCAGATGAACATATGTTGCATGCCTTCTGTGTAAGGTTCCCACAAAGCTGTATACTGGTTCTATCCTCCAACTCTCCTCGTGGCCTTGTCCCGTCAAATCTTAGCGTTTTGCTTTCTGATTTGTATGCCAGTTCAAGGTCTTTTCGAGCCGACCCAGCCCAAACCATGTTGAATCTTCGTCTTCATGTTCACTAAACACGGTTTTGTTAGTTGCTGATTGATGTGATGTGAGGTCACTGTTTTTTTTTTTCATTCTGGTCATTGTGCACATGGTTGTTTTCAGCTATATAGCTCAGTGAAGAGTACTCGTTCTGGCATTCATGTTCGTGTTTGTAGGTTTTTTATGGCTGTCCTCAGGTCCTCTTGATGACACAGAGCACTACTACTACTACTACTAACTACTGCTCACTACTCCCTACGACATACTAAGTACTAGCTACGGACTTTTCGCTACTAACTACTAGTGACTAGCCACCAGCCACTATGATTTCTTCGCTACTAACTGCTGTTTGCTGGCTCCTTACGTTTCTCCGCATCGTCGGATGGCTGAAGGTCTCTTGCTGCCTCCGAAAAGGGTTCGTTCGCCTCGGCTGTGTCTTACCAACAAAGCGCATGTTTTGATGTGAAGAAGATGCCCAAGCAACACGACATATTGTGGCCAGTCACAGAGCATGGACAATCAGGAGGCAAGTCTTGTGGCAACACTCTTGGAGACTCAATGAAACGGTGCTGGGATGCTTCTACTAGAACTGCATGGAAGCTCAGGAAGTGATGCTGGCGTACGAAGGTAAACCCCAGACATACCAAGCGGTTATCCACGTTCTTCAAGTTGTTGTCGTAGCAACACGGCTCCTGAGTGGTGAAGCTGGTGTTGTTGTGCTTGCCACTGTGGATCAGCTTCTGGATCCCAGGGATCCATCATAAACTACAAACGAGAAGAGTAGAGAGACCATCAACAATTGCAAGTTGAAGAATTTCAGCAAGCCCCAGAAGTTGAAAGTTGAGAGGGCCCCCGTAGTGTGGGCACTTGGTGATTGGGACATAGACAGAAGTGCAGTTGCATTTCACAACCTACAGAACCTAGGAGGCAGAAGGTCAGCTGCTTCAAGGAGATGCTGGTGAGCCTTCACCAAATGGAGGCCTGTTTTGTTGCAATCCTCGCTCAGTAGTCGCGCAAAAGAGCATTAGTGTATCTGCACTGGCAGGAGAATGCTCAGAAGCGCCAGTGCCTTGATTTCTGTCAAGCATCATATGATTCAACATCTTTTTCAACCAAGTTCCCTTCCCCGCAAGAGTGTTGATTGCGTGCTTTGCGCCGACTTTGTTGCCGCCAATCAGCAAGATGTAGCACGTCGACCGTGAAGATTTTGCATGTCAGTGTTGCTTTCTTGGTGTGGGACAGGCCATAACGACCCTTGCATTCGTACTGAGAAGAGCAAAAGACCAGGAGCAAGAGCAGTAAATCACTCGTCGACCAACGGCCTTATGGCGTCAGCGAGTCGATCTGAGCTCTATCTAAAGAGCTTGACTCTGCGCATTTTCTGGTGCTTGTTGGTCTCATCATCGCCAGTTTTCAGTCTTGATGAAGGCAATTGCGAGGAGGATTTTGCCTTCCTTCAGCTGGTTTCTCGGCCTCCAACAGCTGATGCGCTTGCCCTTCGCTCCAACGCAGAGGTTTGGGCAACTTATTCTGGACTGGACTTCATGTTGTCCCAATCGAAGGACTTTGTGGCTCATAAAATCGTCCAGTCCCCGCTGATGAGAAAGCAGACTGTCAACATCGCCTTCGGAATCAGCCTTGAGATTGGGGACTTACTTGCGACGAGCTTACCCAGCGTAAGCTTCGTTTCGCCAGTTTGGACTCAAGCTGGTGTCCAAGTAGGTGTTGAAGTCAAAGGCTTGCTTGCAAAAGCAAGCCTGAAGGTCTCGACACCAGAATCCGAGGGCGAACTTCTCGTTAAAGTGGATGGAACTTTTCATGGCAACTACAACATCGCTGTGGTGGACAAGCGCATCACGGTCGGGGTCGGCAGCCTTGTGACGCCGAACCTGCATGTTCAGCCCACGCTTGAGTTGTCCTGTGTCAGCCCGGGCTTTTGGAGTTCGGTGCCGTGCGCAGCCATCAGTGCGCTGAATGGTGATGTCCCTGGTTGGCTTGTAGACACGATTCTGTTCTTCACTAGGTCGCACGTCGAGCAGCTTCTTCAAGACATTATTGAGCAGAAGCTGGATGCAAACTTGCGCACGCTTCCAAACAGAATGCAGATTCTGTCATCCCGCGAAGCCCAAGTGCAGTTGGCCTTCACCCCACTCGGCATGCTCCAGTCTCTTGATTTCAAAGCAGCATCATATAACATACTTGCAGAAAAGGCTCCAGAAGCGCTTCCAGAGGAGATTTCCGTTCCAGGGCTGGGTCTCGAAAATCACTCGAACACGAAGATGTTCGCCATGGCACTGAGCAAAAGTGTGCCGAACAGTCTCTTTGCAGTCCTGCATGAGTCTGGTGCACTTCACCACACTGTCTTCCCACAGGACCTGCCCAATAACAGTTGGTTTGGTCTGGATACATTGAGCCTGGAACTTGCATTCTACTGTCCCTGGCTGCGAACTATATACGCCTTCGAGTGTCCGTTTTGGAAGCCCTGTGCAGTATCGGCGACAATTCAAACATCTGGACGGCCAGTTGTCGAATTGTCCGATGGCCTTAATTTGACCATTCCCCTTTCGGTGGACTTCCACCTGCTGGACACGGGGTCTAACAATTCAAGTTTTCTGTGGCGGGTGAACACGACAGCCAGTTCCATTTTGCAGCCGTTCATGGTGCACCAGGAGGCCCCCTGCAATCAACTGTTCAAGGCCAGGATTGAAGCTCTGCATGCCAGTTGGTTCGACGTCACCAAAACGAAGGACGATTCATGGGTTGCGACAGCTCTCTCCATCAATCTTTTTTTGCCAATGCTGCTGAATGGACCTTTCTTAGACAAGATTAATGAGTATCTCAGCGAAGGCATTCCCCTCAAGCCCATTAACTTTGGTGGCTCATACTACGCTCTCTCCAATTCATCTGTCGAAGTGTCGTCTGGCAGAATTGTTTTATCCAGCAATGTCTGGCTTGCCGAAAGATGTCCTTGACTTGCAACGCAGGCTGCATGAAGGCAACAGAGCTCGGTGGCGGCTTCCCTGCGGCTGTACCAAATAGTACTAAAGATTGAACCGCAACGACGGTCGTTTTGTCATGCCTTGGCAGCCAGAGGTAAAATGCAGTCCGGCATACATTGCGGCAGAACATGCCAGTTTCACACAATCACGGCTTTCTGCCAGGTACTTGTGCAGAGCTGCCGGATCCGGCGAACAGATGACCTGGGTAGACTGCCACTTGTGCAGTGCTTGCGTGCTAGAACAAATTTGCATGCGAGCATCTGGAGAGCCTGCCCCTTTGCCCTCGTTGTGAGTCTCGTCCTTGTGTGCCTCGTCAGGCCCCATGGCTCCGTAGAGAGCGCGCTAGAGAGGACCTTGCCATGGCCATGGCCGTGCGTGCCGTGCGCGCCGGGGCCTCAGCGACCCAGAGCCCCAGAGTCCTTTTGAGGGTAGCTTAGCATTGCGTGTACATCCCAGGCCTCGAGCTTTGCACTCCCACGACTCGGACGATGGCGCATTTGTGCCACCATGAAATGGCGGCACTTGCAAAGGCAGAACTCCCCTCAAGTGTGCATGCTGTTTTTGCTTGTCAATTGAGATCAGACGCCCAACAGAAGGACATTCGCCACGAATCCTGAGTACATCGGCCAGGACAGGGTGTTCGCGGTCGCCCATGCAAATTCCATAACCTAACTTGTTGAACCCATTCACTCGCGAGCTGTTTGAGCTTGTGAAGGGCAGTTTCCCTGCTGTGCTCCTGAAAGATGGTAGAGGTAGTGCAGGTAGTGGGCTTTTTCCATTAGGGGTTGACCGGTAATTTCTGTGGTTTGGCTTGTCCTTTCTACTGCGGTTCTTCTACCGTGCCAGCTTTTCTTTGGCCTTTCTCCATGTCTTCCTGCAGGCCTTGGCACTTCGTGCTTGAATGCTTCTTTCTCTCTGGTTTTCTCCTGCGTCAGATTCCAGTTAAGGATCGCCATTGTTACCTTGGCAAAACCAGCTGGAAACACTTTCGGCCACTCCTCCGTGAGGCAGCGGCATAGGCATCAATAGAATTATTGTTTGTGCGGGTGGGTGGCAGATGGGCGGGTGGCTGTGCATGCGCTTGGATTTTTTGTGTGTGAACGGTCCTCGGTCATGGACTTATGGATATCACTCTCCAATCGTCTTGTAGTAGAATACCAGCCAGTGTCAGTACCTTTTCTCTTTGCAGCAGGGGGGCAAGGGACATTGCGAGTCTTGCGCCAACGGAGACAAGAGCTTACACAGATCAGGACACCTGTGAAGGTCTGCAACAGTTGACCTGTACGGCTGCTGCAATCTGAGCCATTTACACACACATGCAGTGTGACATTGAAGCAGGCAATCTGTGGTAACTGAATCCAACCATAAGTACGCCTAACTTGTCGAGAGTTTGCTAACAGTGGCCATCCGTCACGGTGCCACGGCGGCCTACTACAGCTGCTGCTGCTGCTACTCCTACTACAACAACTACTACAACAACCACAACAACAACAACTACTACTACTACTACTACTGCTACTACTACTTACTACTTACTACTTGCTACTTACTACTTACTACTTACTACTTACTACTTACTACTTACTACTTACTACTTACTACTTACTACTTACTACTTACTACTTACTATTCACTACTTACTACTTACTACT